AGACTTCACAGGGCGACACCGAGGTCATGCTGACAGTGCCGCGTGGCGCGGTCGGTTAAGGAAGGAGTTTTGCAGACTGCTGGCTCTGCAGCATCCCACTTTCCTTTCCTGGATTTAAAGAAAACGAGAGACCAAAACCCACCTGTCCATTTACTCTGGTCCTTGTCCCCTCCACTCTCTTGTTCCTTGGCAGGCTCTTCAGCATCACCGGCTGTTTCATTGGGTCCTTCCGCATCTTCAGTGGATTCTTCTGAAACAAGAGAAGCAGAAAGTATAACATAAAAATGGAAGAAGTCGAAACAGAAGAGCAAGTAACTGCCATTGAGCAACAGAGCAACAGCCAACGCTGAAGCACAAGTGTTGAGTAGCAGACATCAATGTCACCCAGCCTTCTCCCAACACTACCTGATAGCTGTTCAGGAGAGAAGCTACAGAGGAAAGAAGTGAGAGATGAAATGAAGAATCTCACCTACTTCTATCACTTACAGCTACTGACATCCCCTGTGGTGTATCGCACAGTAAAACATCTGCCTGGTATGAAAAGGTTCTACCCAGCCATGCCACGGATCAGAGAAGCGTTAGGGATTGACTGGAGCCTCCAGCACCTTCAGCCTCAGCCTTCCTCCTCATCCCCATCTCAAGCTCTTCAGACTGAAGGGCACCATGCGTAGTACTGACCCTGGTCACCGAGACCCCCGAGTTCACTGCAGAAACACCACCGCTCACTCCTGCTCACACAAAGGAGTGACACTGTCTTCTGTGGACACGGCCCTGACGCAGGGCACGGGAGGGGCTGCTGGGGGGTCTTATTGTCATCCCAGTCACAGGAAGAGTGTGAGCACACAGGCAGCCCCATACAGGTGCAAACGCATGAAGGAGTAAAAATACTCTGTGAAATGAAGTGCTGAAAATTCAGAACAAAACGCAAAGTGCCACTGCCCCACCCGTTAACCAAAGCACCGGCGTGCCGAGGCCAGTGGCACGGAGCGTGTCGACACGGCGCGGTGCAGCTCCACGCAGAGGCACCCTGGTCAGGTGGGATACTGGGAGTGAGATGGCTGCAGCTGCCAGACCTCTTACACCAGGGTGTAACAGCTACATTATCATCTAATATCTTGGGTATTAATGTATAGCGCATGCAGCTCGACAGCTACCACGTAATTGATGGGGGCTACATCAACATTGGGAAGAAAGGGTATTTTGAAGCCATTATATCCTCTTTCAGGCAGGACAGTTCGTAATTTTAACTTGCATTATCTGGTCACGGCAAATCCTGGGCTATCATGAGGTTTTTATCTGAACTACCTAACCAGTTAAAGCACCCTCCCCATCCTCCCCCTAGCAAAGATGGGGCTAGAAATCAGGATTACAAATATGTATTAGGAGATTGCAGATACTTGGCAGTGCCCTTTGAGAACGTGACAACTTAAATCAAGGGGGAACTTGTAAAAGCATCCAGAGATCAGCACTGATATCAAGTGGGAGCAGTGATTTATACTCTACGCCTCTGTCACTCTTTTAAAAGCTGGAAACTCCTAAGAGCTGCAGGGATCCCAGTGATCTTCGGCTGGGAAACAGGACCCCAGAGCGAGAGGTGTGATGGGATGGGTGGCATCGCCAGGCAAAGGTGCCCGACACGAGGGAAGACACGAACGACTGACGCAGGGGTGAAACAGGCGGTTTGCCCTGTGAGATGGGCGGTCGAGTAGGCTGGAGAGAAGGGCTGCCAACGTGGCAGCCGGATTCAAATTTCGGAAATTAAAGTTCCAAAATTTTTCCCACCCCGGGGAAAAAACGACAA